GAATAGTTTCACAGCCCTAAAAATCCTCTGCGCTCCACAGATTTATCCCTCCCTCCCCCCAAAGCCCCGATAACCTCTAATCTTTTCACTGTCTCCATAGTTTTGCCTTTTCCAGAATGTCCTATAGTTGAAATAATAATAATAATAATTATTATTATTATTATATATTATTATTATTATTTATTTTATATATTATTTTTTTTTATTAATAATAATAATAATAATAATTTAAAGATGACCGGTAAGGGGATCTTAACCCTTGACTTGGTGTTGTCAGCACCACGTTCTCCCAAGTGAGCTAACCGGCCATCCCTATATAGGGATCCGAACCTGCGACCTTGGTGTGCCGGCCCCTCCTGTGAGTATTTCTACGGCTTACATTTGGGGCCGCTGAATGACCTTGGGTAACTCACGGGACCTTCTGGGCTTATGTGAAAAAAGGGAGAGGATGATCTCCGGGGTCACTTCTAACGCAGACATTCTAGGACTGACTGCTTTTCTGAAGATGCGTCGGAAATTCGGCACCGAGGACCCAGAGAATGAAGGTGTCCCCTCCCTCCCCACCTCGCCACTGAGGGAACCGAGCTGTGTGCATAAGCACGAAATCACCTGGAATAGAAGGGCTTTTGGTTCGAGTTTTATATCCAAATGGGGAGGAGACTAATTTAATTCTTCCTTTAGGAGAATTCTGATGTTAAGATACCACCTCGGAAAATAAAAGTGAGGTGATCGTGTTTTCTTGTGACACTCTGGCTGATTTTGCAACAACTCGTTTCAAATTTTGTTCTGTGCGCACCCACCCTCCTTGCAAAGAATGGCGTGTACATTCCTCAGAGGGCAAAGGGAGGGTGGTGGTGGTGAAGACAGAAGTTGGCCCTGAGTGTAACTCTGCCAACTGTTGGAGGGCGGCGACGGAGGGTGGTCTTTTACGCGGGTTTGGGATCTGATTACCTTTAGTTCGCCTCCGAGGCTGAGTCGTGCGCTAACGGGCGTCTGTCAGTGGAGGGCTCGGGTTTCCCCACTTGCCTCGGTTAGGGGAAGCATAGGGACAAACAGCAAGGTGGACCGCTCAGCCAGAAAGAAATATGTCCGGCCTCGAGCTGGGGTGCGGGCTGAAGGGTGGGTGGGCACAGGCGGCTTCTCCCCAGGCCTAGGGCGTGGTCGGAGGTCTCAAGACCAGGAGGAGGTGCCACCATTTAAAAGCCTCCTGTGACCAGCCTCTCTTTTGCAAAATCCTTCCAGGCACCTACGGGCTGGGATAGGTTCTGCGACCTCTCTTAGAAAAACTCATTTTTCACACATAACATCTGGTCATTCGAAACCAAGCCAAACACCAAAAAACCTTAACATGCTCTCCGCTCTCTACAGTTTATAAAACATTTTTTACTGGCACTAACTCACCTAATTCTGCAAGCCTAACATCTGGTCATTCGAAACCAAGCCAAACACCAAAAAACCTTAACATGCCCTCCGCTCTCTACAGTTTATAAAACATTTTTTACTGGCACTAACTCACCTAATTCTGCAAGCCCAAGCAGCAGGCAGACTCGTTCTCATTGTAGAGTCAAGGAAATGGAGATATCCAAGGAAATCAAGCAAACTTGTCCAAAGTCACAGGAAATGCCTAATCTCTGGGACGCCTTCTGCAAAGTCTCTCATTCCACTGTTTCCTGTAATCCCCTCCCATGAAATAGGACCACCCTCCAAGACTTGGCCTGGGCACACTCAGAATGCCCTTCCAACCCCCTCCCCCCGCGCTGTTTTATGCTGCAGTCTACACCACCATGGACACAGGTGGAGTCGGATGGACTCATGACTCTGGAACCTGCTTTCAGATCACATCTTCTTCAGGTCTTCAGGACAGTTTCTTAAGAAACCCACCTTAAAACAGGCCCCCCCACCCCGCACCAGCATTTCATGTTCTCACTACCAAGACTATTCCTATAAACCATGTAAAATAAATAACCTTAAATATAACTCTTAATTGCTTCCAGGTCAACGTTTCCTCATCACTAAACTTTATTGCTTTCCAATCTTTAGGACAAACTCCCCTCGGGACTCCGTCCCTTCCGGGAGACATGCTGAGGAAAGCAGCTTCTCTGAGATTCGGCCCTGGCGTCCCGGGCCCTTAGGATGAGCAAGGGTGTCAGGGGGCTCAGAGCCTGGGAGAGAGAAAGGCCTCTGAGGGCTGGGGCTGGACCCTCCGAGACAAACCGGGAAGTTTTCCTTCTGCTCGTCGCCCCCTACAGGCCACATCCGCCACCGCAGCGAGAGCCCTGCACAGCCGGTACGTGTATTTGGCTCTACTCTTTTTTCGCATTTCCCTGGACATCCAGATTCACCCTCTATTCCCCGAGGGACTGGGTGTGGGGACCCCACTCAGGAACTCCGCCCTGAGGACGCTCTAGGGGCCACGGGCTTTTGGGCTGGATTGATTTTTTAGAAATGGGTGCCGGAGAAAGTGGAAACATGTATAAATTCGTGTGTAGCCGAAAGCTAAAATCCTCCCCATTTAAAAAAAAAAAAAAATCAACCTGTGTCCTCCTTTTATTGCAAATAAATCTTCCCCCTTTCTTTAGGTTTCTTTTGTTAAGTGGAATAAAAAGCGGACATCAGTCGTGTTGCTTTTAAATCTCAATGTGAAAGCGAGTTCCGGTGCCTTCCATCGCAGGTACCTGCGTTCGATAACATCAAACGTGGATTTCAAGCGTCCCCCGCCCCACCACTAAGTGCTTGCTTTCATTATTAGTGATATTTACATTCCCCCTTCTGCTCTAAACCTTCGTGGTTTAAAAGCTTAAACCAAAAGGAGCTTTTCAGGCTGTTTCGCCCAGGCCTATCTCCCTAACACCTGCCAAGATTTTTAAACAGACGTTGGCCGGTTGGGGGTCTGGGCCTGAGAGTCTCCTGCCCTCCAAGACATAAAGGAAGGGGACCTTTTCCAGGAGGTAGTTCAAGGGTGAGAAGTGGCTGGAAGGAAAGTTGCCGGTGCATCTCTGCTCGTCTGCACCCCGCTGCCTAACGAATGCATCGCTGGAAAAAGCCCTGCGGATCTCAAGCAGCGGCTTGTGGCTGAGTGTCAGGCTGCGGGCGCAGGCTCGGCCGGTATTGCTGCTATGCGCGGAAATATGAGCGAGTAATTTTATAAGTAACAAAGGATCAGGGATGGAATGAGGCCCCTGTTATCCAATGTCATTTAGAAGCCTTGGATCAGCAGCTTCTTGAAGCTAAAAGTGAATTCAAGAAGCCCTGCCTTTCCCTTTTCCCAGGGGTGTCAGCTAAATTTAGAAATAACCTCTATGTGTTTGCACAAATCATGTACCATTTGCTGTTTGTGTAAAAACCGATTAGCCAGACACAACTGTGAAACAACTTGTTACTTTTATAGCTGCAACACACAAACAAATTTAGATCCGTTTAGCTTTCCTTGTAAAAGGAGATTAGAAGGGACCCGCCCGGAGACCGTGTGGTCCATAATCTCCTCTCGATGAAGGTTACTGTTGCTCCTCTAGGCAGTGGTTGATTATCAGGTTCTTGTTTATCAAGTTAAACTCTCTCACCCCCGGCAGCTTGTTTTATTTTAGGACCCTGATCTCGAAGGAATGTTTACTCAGGACACAATAATGTTTACCATCTACCAGGAAAAACAGACGTGGTATTTGCAAGGAAATGTCTTTCAAAGCTACCCTTAGCCTACTGCAGTAGCGAAGAAGACTCGGATCCGCGGTGGAGAGGCATCTCCACGACCAGGGAGGCAAGGTGGACTACAGCGCCAGGGACTGGCCATGTTTAACAAGCAGGACGCACACAGGGCCGAGCTGACAGTATTGCCAGTCGCTCCGGTTTTAAAAGGCGATTTCACATAAGTAATTGTAACGGCTAAATTAATTACAAAATAATTAAAATTGATGCCGTTTGAGGATATGCTGATGGTGGCGGAAACCGGCTTCCCGCACCAAGATGTTTCATTTCTATTTTAATTCTTATTTTTTTTTAAAAAAAGGTTGAAACAGCTGAAATGCACATTTAAAATGATCTACGAGGACCTCCCCCATTTCAAACCGGCTTCCCGCACCAAGATGTTTCATTTCTATTTTAATTCTTATTTTTTTTTAAAAAAGGTTGAAACAGCTGAAATGCACATTTAAAATGATCTACGAGGACCTCCCCCATTTCTGCCCTACGACCTCGCATTTCACACTAACCTAGCCTAAGGTAAAGGAAAAAGGAGGGAAGAGGTAATGTGCACCTGTTTTCAAAAGGGTATTAAGGCCACCATTCCTCCACCTTCAGAAAGGCGTCGGTTGCAGGGACGAGAAGCATCTTATTTGAAAGTATTATGAAAATAAAACTACGTATTATCTATCAGGTTGAAATAGATAATACAATCCCACTGCAAAATTTAAAATGCTGTAACATGAAATTTTAAAGCCAACTGGCTTTATTTACCACTTCTACTTAAGAGATGAAAAGTAATTTCAAAAATCTAAGATTTAAATGCTAAAAACAGGAATGTTTGGAATTTACTTACCTTTGAAAGGATAATTGAAATGACCAAGAACTCTCCCTCATTTGGGAAATTTTCATTGTGGAAGATACTAGTCTGCTCTTTTTAAAAAAATTTTTAAAACTATGCTGTTGTTTAGAATTAGGTGTTCTGGGTTTTTTTTGTTTTTTTGAATGACAGCCTACTTAATCCATTGAAATGTCTGGTCATTTAGATTTAATGGGTTGTTGATATGAAGGGGGTCATCACCCACATCCTGACTTTAGGTGAAAACTAAATGAAAAATATTAATATGACCTAAATTAGACATACTCTTTCCTTTCTCCAATTAACCTTTTCTTACACTCGAGTTATGAATTAGCAAAGATTAAAGTGGTCATTACTTGAAACTCCTTAATTTTCTGGGGAACATAAGATATATATACCCTTTAAAAAGCTTATCATTTACTTCAGACACCTAAATAAAACACTAGGCTAAGCATTTTAAAAATTTATTTACAAAGTTGTGTACAACACGATGGAATAACATTTAGAATACCATATATATTCATTCATATAGAAACAGACTTTTATAATAGAGTGACACTTTTCGCCCTTTTGAAAATTTCTTTATATTTAAAATCTCCCAACGTCTCTATACTTTCTTTTCTCGGATAAAACTGCGGAGAGTGAACCTTCAAAAAAAATGAAAGTTCAGAGCTCTAAATCTACTGATCTTTTTTCTTAAAAAAATAAAAACCCCAAAAGGAAAGTCAATAATTTTTATACAAATATGTACAAAGGATTTCCCTCCCATCCCCACGGTACTGAGAGCAGGCGCCGTCGGGGTGCATTTTTGGAAAATTCGGTTTTCGTTTTACCTGTACGGAAAGCTATTCCCGGCGGGCACGCGGTGAGTTTGCTCGGCCAGCTTAGGTGTGCGCGACGGGGTGGAGGCCACAGAAGGTAGGTTTTGGAGGGTCGGGGGGGAGGAAACGGGGGAGAGGCAGAGTTCGGGATTGGGCAAGGGAACCGGGACCAGGGCGGGGCGCGCAGCCTGGAAGTACAGCCGACGCCCGAGGCCGCCGCGGGTTCCTGTGTCCCGGCCACAGGCGCGTCCCTATTGCGCTGGCCACTTCGCTTGCGCGGCGGCGGCTGCAGCGGCGGCGGCCGAGGCGGCGGGCTGCAGGAACTGTCCAGAGAGCGGCACGCTCAGGATGGGCGCGATGGTGGCGGTCGTCCGGCTCAGCGACAGCGGCTGGTGCGTGGCCATGAGTGCCGCCGACTGCACGGTCCCGGGCGGCCGCAGGAAGGACTGCCCGGTGCCCCCGCCCCCGCCGCCCCCGGAACCCCCAGTG